CAGCAGGATGCTTAGCCTATCATCAACTGATGTTTTATCTTCTGCAGCATAGGCTTGACCTGTCTTTAAAGTCTGAATGTTGCAGAATTGTCCAGTTAGTCTTTGGAAGAGCTCTGGAGGCACATGGAGAGGTTCAAACATTCTCTTGTAGAGGCTGCTAAGCTCCTTCTCTATCTTGATCTAGAATGCAAAAAAAAAAAAAGACATCAATAAACACAGAAGCATTAGTTAAAAAAAATTTAGTTGCTCTATTTAAGGACCATCTTTGTTATGTTTAGGCAAGGAAAGAACTGGTAAATATGCAACTTCTACTCACAAACACTGCCTATGATAGGGTGACCAAAACCTTATCTAAAATTAGCCAGGCTGGCTCACTGGTGCGTTAGGATGCTGTTCCATCCAAGTAGTGCGTTAAATCAGACGTAGGGAGTCTTTTGAGATGTCTGTTGATGTAACAGCAAATAGAACTTGGGCCAGAATTGCACAGGGGAAAAAAAAGTTAGATTGCCTACATTTTTTGTACCATGAGCACACCTCGTTCTGGTCATCTTTCAGGCTCTCCTAGGAGCCCCTTCCATCGCTGAGCATCTTGGCTTACTCACAGTAGAAAAGCAGTACTATTGAGTCCTGAAAAACAAACCTATCATATTGAAACCACATGTGATGAGGAAAAAAAAACCCCACAACATTGCCAGCTGAACATCCCACATCTAGAAGCCCACCCAAACTCAGACAGCGGCAATAAGGGAAAGGATGTTGGCTGAGATCCCAAGCCTGGAAGTCTTTCTTGAATGAAGGCAGCAGGGAATGAGACAGTGTCCCAGCCTCCCTGAAAGCAGAGGCAGCCTGAACAAAGCCTGCATATTTGCTGGGAGGAAAACAAATTAGAACAATAAGCATCAGATAATGAAAAGATAAAATATACATAGAACAGAGAATAAGGAAAAGCAACCAAGAAAGAAAAAATAGGCAGAAAAAGAAGAAAAGGAGTCACCACTTCAACAAATGAGAATATTCCAAGTTTATGTAACTTTCAAGATTTTTTTTTTTAATTTCAATATTAAAAACAGAGGAGGAAAGAAGGCAGAAGCACAGGAGTCACTTTCCAGCTGACAGTAGGCAACAGTGGGAATCTAGAAACTTCTGGTCACCTTGTGGCTGGAGGAGGTGGGGTATCCAGAGAGACCACGGGAGGCCCCAGGCTGCCTCAGGTCCGTGAGGGCTTCAAACTGTCACTAGTCTCTCCCCAGCTGAGCATTTTGGGGTGAAAACATTAGTCTTCAGCCCCTAAGAGATATATGTATTTCACGTCAAAAATCCTCCCTGAGATGTTTTTGGTAGAATTATCTGTGTGTGTCAAACAGTAAACCAAGCATAATGAAAAGTTTTTTTTGAAAACTAAGAAGGTTTCCTTGTTACATTTCAAGTTTATTTAAATATAGAACAAATTGAGCAGAGACAGAAACTTTCTAGATGTGTGGAACTATATTTGGAGTATTTCACACACAGCCTCAGTCACCGATGCCATTCGTCCCACATTTGGGCCACGGAGTGCCATGAGAATCACTCTGAAAGTGAAAATCCAGTGGGCAGAGATGGTGGGTTAATCCCACAGAAACAGTATATAGTTTGTTATTAAATTCCTAAGCAGGAAGATATAAGGCTGCTTATGTGACCTTGCTGTTATCATTTCACAACTTCTCAGCCTTTATACTTCCAGAAAAACTCAACAGAAGGATATCCCAAACCTACAGACTTCATTTTTTACCCAGACAGCCTCAAACCATGAAAAGCAAAAGCAAGTTTATAAGCCACGAGGATTTTATGCAGCCTCCATGTGATACACGCCAATACCTGTTTCCAAGGGTTTAATGTAAAAAATTCTCCTGAGAGCACTGAGAACTTTATTTTCCTTATACATAGCCAAACTTATTGTCAACTTTGTGTACAGTACCTGTGTACATTTACCACCCACAACTGTATTAAAGTATTCAGTTTGTTTGATTTTTTTGATCTGTCCATACATAAGCGTCAATCAAATGTGAATTACTGCCTCCTCAAAACATTTAAATGAATCTTTCCATTTCATTACATTGTCATTACATTTTGTTACATGTCTCCCACCTCCTACAAATTAATCTCTTCCCAATGAGTGCTATCAGAACCAAGAACAAGAGGGCTAGAACATAAATGTTCAGACCAGATTAACAATAAAGTCACAGAATGATGGAACGGTGGAAGTTGGAAGGAATCTCTGGAGGTCATCTGATTCAACCACCCTGATCAAGCAGGGTCATCTAGAGCGAGACTGCCCAGGGCCATGTTCAGATGGCTTCTGAATATCCCCAAGGATGAAGTTTCCACAACCTCTCTGGGCAACCTGTGCCACTGCTCCATCACCCTTACAGTAAAAAAAAGCATTTCCTGATGTTCAGACAAACCTACCTGTGTTTCAGTTTGTGCCCACTGCCTTTGGTCCTGTCACTGGGATACTGTGGCCTGTCTTTGCTGCAAGGATCCACTGCTGGCTCATGCTCCAGCTGGTGTCCACCAGGACCTCCAGGTCCTTTTCTGCAAAGATGTTTTCCAGCTAGCCAGCCCCCGGCATATGCTGGTGCACGGGGTTGTTCCTACCCAGGTCCAGGACTCTGCCCTTCTTGTTGAACTTCATTAGCTTCCTGTCAACCCATTTCTCCAACCCATCAAGGTCCCTCCAGTCGGCTACCCAACCTTCTGACTTATCGGCCACTCCTCCAGGTCTTGTGTCATCAGGGTGCACTCTGCCCAATCATCCACATCACTAATGAAGATATCAAACAGGACTGGTCCCAGTACTGACCGTAGGTTACACTGCTAGTATACACACTAGTGTGGTGTGTACAGTACATACCTCTAACTAGACTTCCTACTCCTGATTACCACCCTCAGCCCAGCCATTCAGCCAGTTTTCAATCCACCTCACTGTCTCCTCATCCAGCCCAGACTTCAACAGCTTCTCTATGTCATGGGAGTGTGTCAAAAGCCTTACTGAAGTTAAGATAGACAATATCCACTGCTCTCTCCTCATCTACCCAGCCCCTTATTTCCTCATAGAACATTATCAGGTTGGTTAAACCTGACTTCCCCTTGGCAAATCCACGCTGACTGCTCCTGATCACCTTCCTGTCCTTCATGTGCCTGGAAGATTATCAAGAGTGGCCTCACAGTGACATCAGTGAGCTCCCTCAGCACTCGTGGGTGCATGCCGTTAGGGCTCACGGCCTTACATATGCCCAGTATGTCACCTGACCTCATGTTACACTGGTTTTGCAGGGAATCAATTGCTACTTAAATCTTCCACTAGTGAGTACATTTATATGAAACCAAGGTTTTTAATTTCCTGTATGTTCCCTATGCGACAGCCTTTACCACCTCAGAGGACATCTACATGGACACAACAAAGATCAAATTTACACTGGCAAGAGAAATGGTCTTGTGTCAAGGATTCCCCTAAACTGATTTCAAAATATGTTCCATATACCTGTGAAGTTAGATGACAATTGGTTTTGCCCACTGATTCTCCAGGAACTCCCTCATTTTTAAGTCATACCAATTTAATTTACCCGACCACGGCAACTCAAAGAGATAAATTCCTTTCTCAGGCGAACATACAAGTAGCTCCCAAGGCTCATGAATTCAAAACACCACATACAGACCTGAGGACAGGCTTTGGCCCTGGAGTGCTAATGCAATCCCTTAACTAGCACATAATTCAGGTTTCATGATCCTCCGCTAATGTACAATACTTAAGCGAAAGCAGGTGTAACAACTTTCTTAAAGATTGATCAGGTTAGATAGCATAGATATATTTTAGATGGTCTCCCTTGTAACAGACTATTCACCTTTCACAAGTGCAGCTGACTGCTCCTCAGTCATGCCTGTGGGTCATATTCCAAATGAGCCATACGGGTAGGTGTAGTGTTTTGTTCAGCAGCGGTTGAAATATTCTGGGATGCTGCCAGAGCTCCGAATCAGAGCTCTACAGAGACACCGATTAGATTCTTTCAGCTTCCACTCAGACTTAAAATGCCAAATCTGTAAAGCTCCAAGGAGTCAAAACCACTGAGATTTTTTCTTCTGGCCAGAAGAAAAACTGACTGCTATTTCGCATGCTCCATTTAATAAAATAAATATTTAACAACTGAACATATCAATTATTCATTTTGTAATATGACTAACTTGTAACTATTCTTCCATTCCTTCTTTTCCTTAAAAATGTCATTTGTGAGGATGACTAAATAAAATTGATTTTGAGAAGGGCAATACAGTAGCTGCAGACAGAAAATCTCATTCAAAATTAGTTAATGAGAATTTCTTTTTTTTTCTGCTCCATTCTCTAGCTTTCTATAGGAAAAGCACTTAAAAACAGCTTTCAAGTTCATAATAAACACAATGTGTAAGAGAGCTAAAAAAACACATGTGACTACCAGGCACCACTTCAAGTAAGCTTGCTGATCATAGTCTGTAACAAAGAGATTCATATATTGTTTGGGATATTACCCTGATTCCATATAATTTCAACTATTGTTTAAATTCACATAATTTACTAGGCATTTAGAGCCCAGTTTTCAGAGAAGCTGAGTATCCACAGTTCCCAGACCACAGCTACTGTGGTAGGAATACAAATTGGAAAGCCAGTCTCCAGTTCTCCACTGTGTTACAGCTTAGATCAGCATGAAGCTATTTGAATTGTTTTTCTCATACTGCTAGAGAGCAGCAAGGAAGCCCATCTCACCTATGACTACATAAAGCTAGGCTAGTAGTTTATAATGGTTGTGTAGGCTTGTTCTCTGGCCAGCAGAGAGGCATATCACCATCACATCTTAAACAGATATTGGGTGGGTGGATTGAATTACACTGGACGACTAGCTTAAACTAGATGCTTTAACTTGGAGATGGATGGAGTGAGACAAGATGATTCCAATTCCATTTTCATAAGGCAAATCTACTCCTGCGGAAGTAGAGACCACAAATAATTATTTGTACTCTTTGAAAATGCTCTTAATTGTTAGACTCAAGTATTACATGCTTCCTTTCATTTCTGGGAGCACCAATGTCCTGAACATTGACAGAGATTACCTATGAAAACAGTCAACGCCTATGTAGAGCACCTATGTCTTCTATTCCACAGTGCTTCTCATCGTGTCCCATCCAAAGCTGTTATGCAACTCAAATATTATTCACTCTTAGAAGTTCTGCCCAAATTATGTACCTCGTCTTATACTGAGTTTCCTTTCAGGTCTTTCTGAAAATAAGTAAATAAATAAATAAATCTTTTTGTATCATCTCATTGTGGGACAGTGAGCTGAGAATGAAACCTGAAAAGGAACTAGTGTTAAGGTGTGTAGAGGGGTGTTAAAAAAACAAAACAACCCACACAAAAATCCCCCCCCCAAAAATCCTGATTTAAAACTAATTACTGAAAATATTATGTATTACACCAATTAAAATAGTACGTTTTTCATGTAATGTTAATAAATACTGCAATTTCTTAAACTTAATAAAAAGAAAAATACTGAAATTATTTTAAGTCTTAATAGACTAGCCATGTAGTGCTGTTTCTTTGTATATCAAAACTAATTCTTTGCTGAGCTTTAAGTTGTAAAGGTCATGTAGCCCTGCAGATGGTAACCTTACCAGAGGAACACTGCTGTAGGTAGAACCCTTCCTTTGTTAACACACTTAAGTAGATGTACTCAATTTATCAACTTGTTGTAGACAGATGCAATTTAACCTTTAGCCTCTTTTTATATGCTGCGGTTGCCTATCAGAGTTTGTGCTGCAGTTGTTTTTAGCCATACTGATAAAGATTTCAGCCTTTCTACCTACATTTTCTTTAAATTCTTCTGCCTTTGACAGCTTGCTCTGGCTCTACTTTAGTTGAAATCCTGAGCTTGCACAGCGTTTTAGTGTCCACCAAAGTCTATTTTCCTACATTTCCTCTAACATTCTCTGCCTAGAACTCTAGTTTATTCTATAGAAGAATAGCTGTGGTTTTGCCCCACATGTGTATGGTGCCCAGTCAGATAGCCTATGCTAACATAGCTTTAATATACAACTGTAATCACAAAAGAAAATGTTTTTCTTTCTTAATTCAGTATTATTTTTTTTTTTTTTTACTCAAGCATATAACAGTGTGTCCTCCTCCCAAGATGCTCCTTCACTCTCCAGTAACCTTTCATTTAGATTTTTGGAAATGGTTGGATGGGTACAAACCAAAGGACCATTACCCATGTTCTCAGGACACATTCCACAACTCACTTTTAAGGCTTGGTTTTCTAGGGAAATGAGTTTCAGCTGCATGCTCCTGCCTTTTTCAATAATTTCTGACTTTGTTAGCCAATTTCTGTCCCATTTGACAAAGGACCAGAGGCCTCAAGATGATATTTAAAGATTAAGTTGGTGGGTGGGTTGAGAAGAAGCAGAACATGCTAACTTGGTGTCTTCATTGAAGGACAAGAATGGAACGTGAGCTCATCCCATATTAAAGACCAGAGTACCTGCACGGGATATCTAACTGCAGACACTGAGTCTGGCTTCACTGGCTCTACATTATCACAACTATTATTTTTGTGTGGTGTGTTGGGCAGCATGGCCATGGCTGACTAGTAGAAATACGGTGCAGTTTCACCATAGTGCTGTACCTTGATGATGACACATAAATGGAGTGAGTAATCTAAAATAATAGCATTAGCAATACAAACCAAAGAGGAACTTAACCTTCAACTGGGAAGACTATTCTCAGAGAGGCTAATATAAGCGACTAGAAATATTTAATATACACATCTACAAACATCTAGTAGCAGATCAGTCTAGCTAGTTTTAAGCTATCCTTGAGGAAAGACAGAGATCAAGCATTATGCTGCCTTGTCAAGAAAGGAGGAGGCAGCTAATTTCCTAGCTGCTTTCTTGCACAGGCTGCGTTGACTTGGTGAAGAGGTTATTTCCAGCTAGGTTTGGGGTTTTTTTTGTACCAGCTGTTACACACTTCCAGAATGTGTCTGATTTTGGGCAAAGGCACAGTTATTCTGCTGATAATGTAACCCCATATATATTCCTGTAATCTTTACATTATAAATCTACCTGCCTTAGATTTTGGAGACTACAGAATATAATATTAACATTTTGAACACTCAGCACTTCATTAATATTTGATTGGCACATAATAGCAATTACTATATTAAAGATTATCTAGTTTTGATGTGCATATACCAACAGAATGCTGAGTTGCTAATAATTTTGCAGAAACAGAATATACTTCTGGATGAGTAAGACTAACGAAATAAATTGACTTTCTATCGGATATACATTTAGCTGAAGCCAGGGCAAAGAATCCTGTATTTTTGGCATACATTTCCACTACGCTCTTAGAGGGCATTTGAAGAAAGTTATGCCAATGCATCGTCCTGAAGGCAACAAAAAGGGCTGCAAAATTCCCAGACATGGCCCTCAAAACTCAATGCACTAAATGGGATAAAAAGAAGGATCATCTCACTTAATACTGTTCTTCCCACACCTTACTCAATTTTGCTGCTTATCTTTGCGTCCCACAGATGTTCAAGAAGGGCAGTAGCATCTCACCTTTCATTTGGATTTAAAAGGAATCTGGCAGTACAAAACATGGGCTAAAGCACTTGTCAGCAAAGCAAAGAGTGTGAAGGTCATTTATAAATAGACATCAGCATTTGTTTCTATGTTGAAATAACAGTCTGTTAGGGCACTTGTAATTTATCAGTCTCCTTTCCCACCACAGAGGATGTTCAAGACTTAAAAGTGAGGTAGGAAAGTTTGATCCCTCTCAAACTCCTAATTAAAAAAAAAAAAAAAAGACTGCCCTGGAACGCTCAGTTTTACATATCTCAGTAGGATTTTATTTCTGCATGCATGTACTCTTGTGGATAGGGAAAATGCTCTCAAACACAAACCCCTCTCTGCAAAGAAACGATGTAACCCCTTCCTTACCATTAAAACCAGGGACAACAGCCAAAACCAACCAGTAACTTCTAAAGTCAAACAATTTTTCAAAAATACGGATTTTAGGGAAATAATCATGTACTGCATCAGATCATACTTATGGTCTGGATCCTCCTGAAGTAGCTAACTGACTTCATCTAAAAGAACTCCTGTCTAATTCAAAAACTGCTGTGTAATTCATTGGTTTGTCCAGCAAACATGGGCAAAACTTCCTTTTTCTTACATCTTACTAGACTGCTCGTGCAATTTAGCTGTTATACATACCGGTCTTCTCTTATACACTAGGTATATGAAATGTAAAAGGTTGACAACCAGAAACACAGAATTCCAGATCATGATGTCCAAGGCACAACGGTAGAGCGTAGCCCAAATGATGAACAACGCACATCCTGTAAAAATTAAGAAAAGGAAGTTAAATTTCACTGAACAATAAACACATTTGTATGAAGTCATCAAGAACGTGTGCACTGGGTGTAATTACACTGAAAAGCAATATATTCTACAAGCTTTACTACAGTTAGGCTCTGCGGACCAACGCATGCACTGGTAGCAGAGCTAATCACTACAATGCTACAGACAGGCACTGAGAGCAGGCTGACAGCAGACTGCAGTCCTGCTGCATGGGACTGAAATACTGGAGCGACAATAATTCAGATCAGGATTGGGGAAAGCAGAAGGGTGCAGCCCACGATGGTCTGTTACTAAAATGAAGTAGAAATAGGATAGGGGAAGATTGTATCTTAAGTACAAAAAAGGAATTAAGTAGCTCACAAAACTTCATTACTAGTATTGCATTAATTAGACAAACAAGAGCCTAAAAGAAAAAAAGAAAAATCTTCTACACTCAAACACAGACATTTTTGAAAATTTAAAGGGAGCATCATTGTTGCATTTTGACATGGTCACAACAGGAACCTGAATTCCCTTATACAAAAAAGAAAATTTCAAATGCTTACTCTTTTTTGAGTGGCTTTACTCTGCCTTATCTTTTAAAGCAATTGTCATTACTCATTCTGTGTAATTAGGGATACTATTTTTAGCCTACAAAGACAATACTTGTCAAATGATAGATTATGCATCAGTGAGTCTCTCCCAGATAACTGTGAACCTACTGTCTGATAAAGATGGCTGTAGCAGTCACAGATAAATTTTCCCTTAAGTTTCATGCAAAGCCAACAAGGAGAAGGAGCCAAGTTACCGTCCCTTTCCCCTTTCTCCCTGAAGACGATGCTGAACTAATGAACTCAGTATTATCTATCCTGTCTGGGTTGCTGATTGGCCAGGCAGCAGTCACGTACAGATCAGAAAAAAACAACATGTGATGACTCTTGATCAGCTGGTTAATTAAACTACAAGGGATGGGAGGACATGAGGCCTGAAGTATTGGAGGGGAGTGACAGTGTGGAACAGCACAGAGGTGGAGCAGGGTCATCAAAGCAAAGGGGACAGATCCCTAGGAACCAGGCTTCACTTCTTCCGTTGCCCACAGAATAAATTTTTGCTTCCAGTTGCCATCTTGGCTTGCAAAACTGATTCCATATCTCTTCAAGCTGCAACAAGACCTGCAGACCAAAGTGACAAGCTCAGCAAATGCAGAGCTCCCATTGCTTTTCAAACAAGAACTACACAGACAAAAGGTCTTGCCATGCTCAGACCCCTGATCATCAGTGCGGTCTGTTTGAATAAGCTATCCTGTAACAGCCACAAAGAAGAAAAGGCAAGACCATTGTAAATTCAACCATAGAAGTTCTATCATAAAATTGACCCACACTATTATATGAATAAGCTTTCTCACTTAGAAGTACTTACGTATGCTCTGGGTTGTGATACACCTAGGTTTATCTTTTTTTGCACTGCAACAACTCACTACTCCTTCTTTGAGCACAATGACCCTGTCCCACACAAAGCACAGGTGCTTCCAAATAGCTGTGGGACTGCAACAGTTACAAATGAAACCATGCTTGTTTAGTCTCAAGCATCCCAAACTTAGTTTTTCCTCTGAAGTCGAATTTTGGTATCACAAGATGCCTACACTAGTGGAAGAAGTGCCACTGACTTCAGGAGAACACAGACTGCACTCCATATCAAAAGCCCACACTTCTAAATCCACATTCTGGTGATCCACAAACGCCATGTGTTTGTACCCACATTTAAACAACACGTGGGGTGACATCAAGCTTCTCAAGGAAAACCTTACCTACTGCAGACATATCAGTCAATGTACTTATTGAAACCTAACATTAAGGTCTTAAGGATCCATAGACTTAACTGTGATTTGGAATTTAATGAATTTTAAGCAGCCCGTCGTGTCTGAAATAAGTGGGGCCCACTTGTTTTCTAGTCAACATCTAGACAGGTTTGAAGACATAAGTTGTATTTCTGGAAAGTTAAGAGCCCAGAGACATATAACCTTTCTAGAAAAGGTCTGCCAGGATCAGAACAGATCCCCACTTACACCAAAAACACCTTCAGCAGAGTACAACCACCATGAACATGTGCTGGAATTTCACTGTAAGTTGAAAGGACCAGCAGAAAGCTCTGTAATGTTCACAAACTGCTATTTCTGTCACGGGAAGGTCGCAAATCTCTCCAGAATAATTCTCCTACCTATGGTGAGCAGGCCTCGCAGAAAAATCATATGAAGATTCAGAGTAGTTGGAATAACCAGTCCAACTGCAAAGCAAATGTTTGCCACGTGGAAAACAAGATGATGAATCTCTTTCCAGTTTTCACATGCAGTCTCGTTGAAAGGCACAAGAGTAGCATTTTTAAAGTCTGGAATAAAACCTAGCGGAGCAACAGTGAGTGGGCTCATTGCTGTAGTATTCATCTTGGAAACTCCTGCAATGACAGAGAGGGAAAAAATAAAAATCATTGTGCATTAAAATGAAATATATTAGACATGCACATAGATTTTGTGTTACTGTCTTTCTTCCCAGGATATATTTTCCCATTACCACTCATGGAAAAAAGCTACAAATGCTTTAAAAAGGTAAACTAGATCTATAGGTCAGTAATCCTTCCCTATCTCTTTCACCTAAGTGCTATGCTTGAACAACAGTACATTTCAAAATTTGGACCATATGCACATAAACAACACCGCTTGAACACTAGCTACTATGACTGTCATTGCTCAGTACAACATCCTATGTATTCTTCCCAGTCCTACACAGAAAAATCACAGTTCAGTCTACCATTTATTGAATGGGTCCACAATCTTAGGCAAAGTAAATATTTAAGAGAACTTAACAACCTAGATGAGAATTTAAAGGAAAAAAGCTTATGTAGTGTAAGTCTCCTTTATGGCATAGCAAGTTGTTCTTCTAAATAAGGAGTAGAAGGTCTTAAAGAAGGAACACATGCTGCTTGGTTGATTTAAAAAAAAAAAAAGCCAACAAACCATACCAAATCAAAACCACAAACCAGCCTCAACTTCTGGCTTTCTTGCAGTATTTGCAAGATCATTTGGAGGTGTCCTAAGCCACATATCTTGCACACATTAACCAGAGTAGGCAAAAAACCCCAACAACTTTTGAGAACAGTAAATAAAAACTACCATTTCTTCTCCTAGTTGATCAGATGCTACCAAATCAGGAAGGGAGATACCCAGGCTGCTAAGTTATGACAAGGTTGCCAGTCTTTCAGGGAAATCACTTTGTCTACCTAGTATGAACAAGCTTGCAAGACCTTTGGCTGTCTGTAGAACTCCTGGAGAAAACAAGACAGTTAAAAAAGCTGATTTCTAATCTAAAACTACACAGGGGTTTTTTGTTGTTGTAATAATAAATCTAAAATATTTTCCTTTCACACCAATTAAAATAAAAAAAATATCTCTGTGGGCAAATATCTTCCTAATACAAAGTAAAAAATTCCTATTAAAAATGAACTACAAAGAGAAACTGGAATATTTCAAGACACTACCTTTAAAAATCTTAAAAGCTGGTCTCTCTAGGGAACCGCAGTCAGTGTTACAAGCACTCCAGAAGGTCTTCTCAATCCAAAGCAGTTCCCAGCTGGAGGAGCACGACTGTTCCTCGACGGGCTGTCAGAAACACGGGAGAACCCTGCTTCCAGCGAGGCACATATGGTCCTCGACTGCCGCAGCAGCAGAGATGATACGGAGCTCTGCTTGAGTCTTGCTAATGAAATACATACACGTATCACTGAGCAAACAGGCTCCGTAACATGCAACACGGCGGGATTTGCATTTAAATAAATTCTGTAGAGAGAGTGCACATCCCTGCCATGTGTGCTTACAAACCGTCATGTAATTCATCTGCTTAGCAGACTTTCGAGTCACGGTTAATACACTCAATACTTCCTGCAGACTGGAATATGCTCAGCGTTTGTCTGTTATTTGAAAGTGCTTCTTGGGCTGTGAAGTAATTTTGAGTTGCTTCAGTTCGATGCTTTTTTTTTTATTACCTCCCCCTCCCAATCAACTTGTGTACAAGACATAAGCAAGCTGGACAAATTTCTGAAATTAATCAGTCTTTTAAACCCCTTTTTAAAGCAGTGAGAAGAAAGAAATCAGAAAGAAAACCTCAACCCTCTGACAGTTCCTCTCTGATGCCCAGAGCCTGTCACAGCTAAGCCACGCTACAGAATGTGCAAAGGCATCTTGCAGGATCAAACACCAGCATGAGCATAGTGTACAGAATCTCTGGATGGAAATGATTTTCAAAGGGAAAAAACCCCCATCAAATCCTTACCAAAATACATGATTCACTTATGAAATAAAAGCTTACTTTCCTCTTTTCATTCCTACATTAGTTATTCACAAAGATTAACTAAAATGCGGAGTTTTGGCATAAACAAATTCTACACTAAACTGTTACCAATAATCACAGTGCTCAAACAAATTCACAGTCCAGGTATCATACAGACACCATCCAAAACTGCTCCTATTTGCCTTCAGCTCTTTTGCATGAATTTAGCAACAAGAGCCGCGAGAGCGGTTTCACTGTCCTGACAACGCCAAAGCATGAGCCCGTACGAGGCTGCAGAACTGGCATTTTAACGCCCTCACAAACAGAAGATAATTGCTAATGCTGGGTAACTGTGTTTGTGCTGGTCATACACACATCTCACGATCATGCCCCTGTTGTTTTCAAACAATATAAAACTCCCTACACTGGAACAGCAGGATCTCTAAATCTCTTGCAAAAAGTTATCAGTGGAGTTTCTACATACATTCAGTCTTTCACTGCCTAGTCATCCGCCAATAAAAGCGCCGCTTAATGTGCCATCACGTGGTGACAGAACAAGACAACCAAACTGACGTACCTACGCAGAACCAGCCATAATCCATCGACTCATCTCATGACTAAAGTGGGCTGCAAGAGGCAACTTCAGCCGCATCTGATTACAGATCCACAAAGCTTTCCAGATGCTTGATTTCTTAATAGCAAAATTGTGTACTGTATCCTTGGGAGAACGGAGCCTACCTTACTCTTTAAGGCTCGTCTGCAAATCCTCATACATTTGAAGACCGGAAAGCCAATGAGCCCAGTCAACTCTACGGCCCATGACAATCTCATTCCCCTCGCAACCCAGCCAAAACACCGCTCCCCTCGTTAGCCACAGATACTGATGCCACAACCTGCCAGCCATAAACTGTCATAACGGGAAGATGTTTCTTCAACAAGTGTTGACCAAGTCATTTAAAGCCTTTGATGATAAAGTGTCCACAGTTCTAACAAAAGGATGTTTAATGCTTTTGAAAGTCTGGACCACCTACTCAGTTGCCTTAATTAGAACCTAGGAGCCTAAATCCATCCACGTCCATTTTTTATAAGTTTTTTCTTCAATACCTTGAAATCCTCATATGAATGCATGTGAGCTTCACTTCCTACCCAAAAAGAAACATTGCAGCATGGCTAATGTAATGGAAAAACAGCAGAAAGCTGCAGAACTTCTCTGTCAAGATGGTATTTTAAAGCTGGCAGAAAGAGATTGATGCTATCTGCAAAATGACACAAGGACAGATTGTGACACCAGCTCTGAAGGGGAGCTGCCCAGGAATTTCAAGTAGGGAGCCTGTTCAAGAAGCAACAAAAAAAAGCAGGCAGGCAGAATTACAAACCCTAACCTAAAATGTTTGTTCACAGGTAACACCAGAAATACAAATATTCAAAACAATACCTCTAATTTTTAGATCCAATTCTTTAGTACTAGCGTCTACTGTTGACAAATAATATCAAAGAATTAGCAAAAAATCTGCTGTTCAACAGATGAACAAGCAATTGTCATTTCCTACCCTCTGCTACCTCAAAGAGCCAAAAATTAATTTTGGAAATACAGAATCAGGCCTTTAAAATTTTAATGTGCTAAGGATTAATACAGCATAAGACTTCAAAGTCTTCAATACATGAAGACATGTATTAATATCAGAAGTTAAAAGTGCAACCAACATAGTCAAATAATTTTGGATAAACTGGGGAAACAGTGTCAACTGAAGTGTACGCTTTATGGAGCGTAAGACAAATAACTAAAAGAATATTTTTAATATCCAGTGGATATTATGGATTTAGATCTACCAAACTAAGAGTTTGAAAACTCATGCGACTGAAAGCTCAAGCCAATTTATTGTCCAAACAGGAAGAAAAAAGAAACATCTCAAAAAAGCTCCACTCAGTGACAGTTTAACATTAAATCTGTCAGAAATTAATATAGTTAACAACAATAACTATTTATTTTTTTTTGTGCATCAATTAGATAGAGAGTTAAGGTAACAGATCATGGCTTTAGGCCTGAAAATACAAATTCTCAGAATGTAAATGAGGTGAGCTTACTCTAGGACTTTTCTGCGCTCAGGACATCTTTATGCAAGAGACCAAACTTCTGAAAGCCATTCCCAAAAATATTTAGTCCCTAAATCTTCAGACACAGAGATGCCTTTAAAACAAAAAACAAAAAGGGGGGGGGATTATGGATACCTACACAACATTCACAGAAGACAGATGTAGCAGAAAACTTTAAAGCAGCTGGTTATAGGAGAACAGGTCAGTCAAGCTGATACAGGACAGTGCACAGTGTCCCATTCAATGTCATCATCCACTTTACTGACATTATTCATATCCCACACCTTTACTGTTCAACATTACTCAAATGCGTTTATGTTTGTATAACTTTACGGTCATTGCAAATTTACAGTCCATCATTTCTGTAGATGGATTTTGTGAGTCTAAGGAAAAAAAAAATTTAAAAAATCTTTTTTTTTTAAAATCACATCTGCGGATCTTTAACTACTTTTCTATGTAGCACAAAAGCTGCATAGCGAATTTAGACAATCACTTTCTTTGCTTTTGTGAGCTGAAGACAAACTATTAGTGCTAGCATAATTAAGTTAATTACAGTTTAAGTTACCAGTTTCCTTTCTATAATGAAGTAGGAGTGAATGGGAAAGTAGTATAAGAAAAGATGTATTTCAGTATACTCCTTGGGGCAAGTTAATTTCCATTAAACATGTCATTAACTACAGAAATTTGTTAGTCTCACTCTACACTTTATCCTAGAGAAAATTTAACAACGTTTTCATTCTGCATAGTTACCCAAAATACCCATACCATAAGAAATACTCTTACGTGCACTCAACACAACAGCAGCATGGCTGTGCTGCGGCAATGCAAGTTTGTTAACTGCACTCGAGCTCACCCTCCGCTATGACTGCATTGCACACGGATGCACAGAAAGCCCGAGTTGAGGGACGCAACCACAGCTGTCCCCCACCGCCCCGCTTCCACCCACACCTCCCAAGCTTCATTTTACCCCACGACATGCAAACACCAAACCCACCCAATATTATTATATTCAAAAAATAATAATTAA